GAGGTTTCGAAGATGTTGAAAGAAAAAGGAGTGCAAGTTGTGGATAGTTTTAGTGAAGGAGGGTTTCATGGCTGTGAGTTTTTTGATGACATGAAATTAAAGGACATGGCACTTGTTGTGAAGGAGTTTGTAAGAGCTTAATTGAAGCACTTGTGGCAAGTGATCTTTGAATGAAATATTTGTAATGATTATGAGTACAATAAGAGCTTTAATTGGAGAAAAAGAAAAATAATTATTTAGATTTTGAGTTTTAGAGCTCCGAATAAAATGATAAGTATTGTTGATCTTTTAATAAAAGTAATAAATATTGATTAATTAGCATTGAAAAATTCAAGTTAAGAGCACAAACATAATATTTTAATATTGTGATTGTTTAGATTAACTCTTTTTTATATCAAAGAGAGATTATAAAATTATTTAAAATATAAAATAAGAAATATAACAATTAAAATACATAATTTCATAAAGAGAATGTAAATAAAAAATATGATAAAAGTAGGCCAAAAATATGAATTGAGGGATATTTTAGTCAAATAGATGAACAAGAGGTATATTTAGACTCAAATAGTTTAAGGATATTTTTTGCCATTTTCCATAAATAAAATAGTCTTGAGAAAGTGAAAAATTTCATATATGACATATATTAAATTAATATTTTCAAGTTATAGCAGTAGAATAAAACTTTCAAGTTGTAACATTAAAAATTTCAGGTTCTAATAGATTATTAAAAAAAAAGTTATTTTTAATAATTAAAAACATTTGATTTGAAAAGAATAAAAAGATTTAAAAAAATTAAAATAAAATGTTTATGAAGGAAAAAATGAAAAAAAAAAGGAAATAGGGGTGTCAATTAAATTTGAATTAATTTAAGATAATTATTAATTAGCATGAATTAAGGAATTTCAAAATAATTACGAATATTCAGTTTCCTTAATTCACTCTATTTTGTTAAAATTAATTCAAAAATCTGATTTTATCCATTTTTCTTCCACATTTCTCTCTCTTCGATTTTCTTCCAGAAATTTTGTCACTAGCGACTAATTGAAGTTTTTTTTTTTGTTTGAAAAATCCTGATTTTTTTTGTGATGGAAAACTACGTATCACTATTAATTAAATATGGCGGAAGATGGGATCCTTCAGGTTAGTATTTTTAATTGTTTACTAGTTGTATTTGGATTTCAGTGAAATGAAACTGTAAATCACATTTTGTGATTTTGTTTTTGTAAATCGTCACTATATTGAATGTGATATGTTTTTTTGTATAAAACAATACGTTTTGTTCATAATACATATTAGTTGTTGTGAAACTGTAATATCAGTGATTTTCTTGGTAAGTTACTGTTTTTTCGTAGGGGTTTAATGTCACCATATTTTTTGTTTTTGGTTATTTTTTATATTGGCAAAACAATGATTTCGTGAGAAGTTGCCGCAATATATGAAATATTTGAGTATGAATGTATAACATATAAATATTTTTATCGTTGTAGATTGGGTACGTAGATTAAAATTATAATATCGATTACTATTTTTTTTCCTGAAAAAATAAATTAAAATGTATAGTTTTGAATGAATTTGTTAGTATAAGTGTAATGAATTTGGTATGAAAGTGTATTCACTAATGTGAAAAAAAGGTTATTTAGAATTTTGAAGAATTGTATGACAGTTGTTTTAAGTTGGTATGAAAGTGTGTTAACTAGTTAGAAAAAAAAGTTATTTAGAATTTTGAATAATTGTATGAAAAGTGTTTTAAGTTGGTATGAAATTTGAAATGTTATTGTTTATATAAGCTTTGTCAATTATGTATAAACTAGATAATGTTGCCCGTGCTATGCATGGGCCCAATAATATAAATGGTATGTTTTGGGGCTAATAATGGAGTTTTTGAAGCGATTGTTTGCGTGGATAAAGGAATAAGTTTTTTTTTATCACAAACCTGTACTTTCTTTGACGCTATTCAAGGCATAATAAGACTACCCACATACAACATTTTTGAAATATTTTATGTTGTCAATTATCATGATTTATAGTATTTTTACGATAGATTCACTTCAAGAATCAGTGGAATTTTTTGTATACGTGATTCATTAATTATTCATATAGATTTCATATGCTTGGAAATAAAATTTATTCCAAATTAATATATAAGATAGTGTAAATATTTGTACAAATTTTAGATTCCAGATTTCATATACGCGATTCATTAATTATTCATACGGATTTAATATACTTGGAAATAAAATTTATTCCAGATTAATATATAAGATAGTGTAAATATAGTGTAATATATAACAAACTTTATACCAATCTTATTCAAGTTTCATTTCAACACGAACTTCAGTTTATATCACACATATTATACCAACAATAAATCAATTTCATATAATCACACAATGCATATCATTTGTATACCAATATTATATCATAATTAATACAATATCCAACCATCAAACATTAAATTCAGTGTCATACACATATTAATCAAATTTCACACACGTTTCATCCATTAATTGTACAATTTGGATACACACTGATATTTTAAAATAGTGAATTCAAATGGTATGAATCTGTATATTACTAGTATCCTAAAATTATAACAGCCAAACAGTAATTCATATGTAGATGGTATTTGATTGGAAGAAAACATATGATATTATATATCATCAAATACTTAAACACAAAAAAGTTGTCCAAAAGCAAAAAAAAAAAAACATGTAATTCTAAAAAAGTAGAAGGTGCAATCAACTATTTCAGATTTCTTGTACGTGGTCTTGGTGGTGTAGGATAATTGGTGGTATCCAGAACATGTTCTTTTGCTATGCGAGGTCCACCAAATTTGCTAGCATTGCGCAACCGTACCAGTAACTTCACTCTCACTGATCGTGCCATTCTCACTCTTTGTATATACAGTTAATAGACAATCACACTACTGTTAAAACACAATTCATACCATTTGTATACCACTATTATTTCACAAATCATACAATATCCAACAATCAACTGTTTAATCAGAATCATACATCTATTAATCAGATTTCATACACGTTTCATCCAAACAATTATTTCGAAAATAATATAAGAATAATGTGATATTTTTAGAAAAAAAAATAGTAGTTTTAATAATGTGAAAATAAATTGAATATAATATTTACCCTAACGATTTTTTTGTCTTTTTTAGGTGTTGGGACTTCTGATTCCTTCTTTTTTTTGAATCTTCTTGTAGATGGTTTTGACAACTGAGCAACTTCAACATTCATTGGTTTTGTCTTTTTTTCTTTTTTGATTCAGTAACAAAATCAGAATCAGAATAAAAAAAGGTTTCAACATTTTTCCCCTTCCTCTTCTTCCCCTTTTGACTTATCAAACTAACCCTTTTATTTTAGTAGTTTTTTTCTGTTTTTGATCTTTCAATAGAGATGAACCACCCCTAGCCGGAGTTTCAACAATGTTTGGCGGCGGTTTTTGAGTCAAAATGTTGAAAGATGGAGCATGAACTTCATCCGTAGAAGTTCCTTCGACTAATCGAGGGATCGTTCGAGGAGTTACAACCGTTTTCTTCGACATGATTTTGTTGAAAAAACTAAATTGAATGGAGGATTGTGAAGTTGGTGTAGTTTGGTGGTGAGAAAGATGTGAAAGATGAAGGTAAAAGTGGGCTAGTGTGTTAATGGCGTGTAGAATTTGATGAGCGTGGGGGAAGGAGGGAGGGATTGACGTATGGGCAGTTTGGAGGGGGTGGGATTGACGTATGGGAGGTGGTAACGGTAAAGAAGGAAACGTGTTGTAGGTGAATTCCTATATCTATGTAACTGATAATTTCAGATTTAAAAAAGGAACAAAAATCAATTTAATTACATATTACTAATTAATAATAAAAAACCATAAATAGATTAATCATTTATTAAATAAATGAAAATTGATTTTTAAATAAAATTAACTTTAAATGATATGTCATAACTCGTAAATAAACTGTTATAAGTAAGAATTTTTTAAAAGTATGTCTAAAACCCGCAAAATTGACTCTTAAATGTGTATAGGGCGTGATTTTTCCATAATTAAAAGGTGTTCACAATCATTATCGATTAGAAATCAAGTTATTCATTCAATTAATAATTTGGTGTGCATTAAGTTGCTTTGTGCAATTTATTAATTAATAGTAAATGCTAACTTTAGACAAATTTCAAATGATCCCCTAGTGCACATAAATTAAACTTTAGATAGATATGCTAAAAATCAAGTATATGTTGATGTAAAATCATTTTAATTTGGTAATTCTTTTTTTCCTTTTTACATTTCTTGATGATGGTTCAATGTAAATACAGATATTTCAAAACAAAACAAAAAATATAGAGAGAGAAGGAAATGTCAAGGCAGTGATTCTTGGAAAATAGAATAAAAGTAGAAAAAAATTGAAATCAAAAGGTCGATTTCTCTATTAGTAATTTTACACTGAGAATATGTTTGGTACGAAGAAAAATATTTGTCATGAAAACTATTTTCTTACAAATAAAAAAAAAGACTTATTTTATGATGTTTGATAAATATATAAAAAAATATTATCACGAGAACATTTATATATGAGGTAGGTACAATGCATTCTATTATTGGGTCAATTGTATATATTTCTTCTGTACACACATATAGTTGTCTAGAAAGGAAAGGATCTGAAATTTTGAATTGTCATTTTCTTTGACATATCATAACTCATAAACTTTCTGGTCGAAATTAGGAAACTGTCCTTTTCTTTTAAAGTTGAAATCTCCATTAATCGTGCAATAGGATAAGAATTTGGAGTTATCTTCTTTATTTCTATAATGGTCAATGTTAAATTATATTTAAAATCGTAAAATGATTTTTGAATATTTTTTTAAAAGGAAAAATAAGAGAAAATGTAAAAAAAATAAAACACAAAATGGTTTAAGTAGTCTGTATAAAACTATACAATAAAAACCTCTAGGTAAACATCTCCCCTACTGTTCCCCATATTGTTCAATTTAATTATTGGCATGTCTAACCAAACTGCTTCAATTGATCCAAATGTCGATCCTTATGGATACTTGGGCATCATTCCCAACACTGATGGCTCTATCACACGTTCCCAAATTCCACCTCGTCCATTTTCCACCACTATTCCTGATCATGATTCCTCCGTCTTTATACAAGATCTCGTCATTAACCCCGTTAAAGACACATGGGCTCGTATTATCATCCCTCGTGAAGTACTAAACTCAGAAAATAAACTCCCTCTTGTAGTATATTTTCATGGTGGAGGATTTGTAATGGCAATTACTATAGACACACCAATTTTACAAAAATTTTGTGCAACACTTGCGGTTGAAATTCCAGCGATAATTGTATCGGTTGATTATCGATACGCCCCCGAAAATCGACTCCCAGCAGCGTATGATGATTGTGTGGAATCGTTGTATTGGATCAAAAATACCCCTAACGAGTTGTTGAAAAAACATGCTGATTTTTCAAAGTGTTTTCTATTGGGCACTAGTTCTGGTGGCAACATAGCGTACCACGTAGGACTACGTGTAGCTGGAGTTAGTGAATACCTTAAGCCTTTAGAAATCAAAGGATTGATTTTATATCATAGTCTTTTTGGTGGAAATGAAAGGACAAAATCGGAATTAAGATTAGCTCACGATAAGATGTTGCCCCTTAATGTGAGTGATATTATGTGGGAGCTAGGGTTACCTATTGGTAGCAATCGCGATCATCCGTATTGTAATTCGATGGTGGAGATTCAATCAAATGAAAATTTGTTTGATCAAGTGAAAATACAAGGTTGGAAGATTCTGATAATTGACTGCGATGGTGATCCTTTGATCGATCGACAAATTGAGTTTTCAAAGATGTTGAAGGCAAAAGGTGTGCAAGTTGTGGATTGTTTTAGTGAAGGAGGGTTTCATGGTTGTGAGTATTTTGATGGCATGAGGTTGAAGGTATTGACCCTTGTTGTAAAGGAGTTTATGAGAGGTAATTAAAGCACTTGTGGCAAGTGATCTTTAATTTGATGAAATATTTGTAACAATTATGAAAATAGGAGTCCACTCTCAGAGCTATACTCTGAGAAAAAAGAAGCATTGTTTAGATTTCACCTCTACAGTTTCAAATAAGTTGTGAAGTATCGTCATTAGGGGAAAATATACATCTCAACTGTACGACTTAGAGCAGATATACCCCTTGTTAAAAAAGTGAAGCAAATATATCCGAGTCGTTGTACTTGTACATAAATTTCCAGCACCTCATGGTAATATAATCAATGAATTATCTTAGTTACCAAAAAACAGCATTCAAAAGCAAGAATATAATGAAAATCAGAGGAAGATACAAAGTCTTATGCTTTTCTCAAACTTTATAGACCAGAGAAAAGTATTTTTGTTAAACTGATTGATCAAAAGTTCTTTACATGGTGTAAATACATTCAAATTGTTGTATATCTAACAACAGGTTTAAAAATATTAGCAACCAAAACTTGAAATCAACAATGTAAGCTACAGCTAAAAATATCTCTTTTCTCAGCACCAATTATCCCCGCACGAGCATTTACCATTTACAAAATGATGAAAACCTGAAGCGTCTCTTACGTGTATATCTCTCTTGGTGACAACAGAAACATATTTGAAGAATGTATGGCAGTCACCACAGAGAAGCACATTCTTCATAACGCGAACAGGTTTTCCAGGTCTCGTCATAAGAAGCCCAAAGGTTACAGATAGTTTTGCACTGTGGTAGAACAAGAAGTCTTTCTTCTGATGCTCCTCCACTTCATGGAGCACAAGACTTGTATCAGGTACATATCCAGCTTTCAGACACTCCAAAATAAGTATTTGTAAGCCACTGTATATGTCTTTTGACTGTGAATGCAATTTATCTCTAGCAAAGAAGGAGTGAACCTTGTCGCCTAATATGATCCAACTGCGTCCTGGTATTTTTCGGATACCCTTCTCCCTCATTTCTGCCCTAACAAGTTCCGAACACTGCCATCTTCCAGATGCTGAGTAAAGATTTGACTTTAGTATAAAAGTAGAAGGATCTTGTGGGACAATGGAAAGTATATTCTTCATGGCCCTTTTTCCAATGATAGCATTCACATGTAACCTACAACCATCAAGCAAAGCATGCCAAACAGAAGCCTTTGGTTCAAATGGCATTGCACTAATTATCTTTTCTGCTTCTTCGAGCAGACCCCAATAGCCTAAGACACCTACAAAACCTGCATAATGCTCTGAGGTGGGGTTTACGTTATATGAGGATTGCATAGAGGAAAAGAACTTTTGGCAACAATCAACTAAATTTGTGGAAGTGTGTCTATAAGCTGATATCACAAGGACACAAGTGATAGAATCTGGGTCTACTCCTAACCTCTCCATCTTCGCCCATGTATCCAATGCCCCATCCCCCTGCCTATGAAGGACATAGCAAGTCAATAAACCATTCCATGAAACTAAATCATGTGTAGGCATAGCCTCAAAGGTCTTAACTGCACTTTGCATTTCACCACACTTAGTGTACATGCTGATCATGGCATTCCCAACACCGGTATCAGACATTAAACCATGTTTCCAGGCATAGCAATGGATTTGTTCCCCTAACTTCAGAATCCCTAATGTTCCACAAACACCAAGAATAGTGGCCAATCCAACTTCATCAACAACTAGCGATTTTTCTGAATGTCTTACCAAGAACAGAGAAATAGCTTCTTCTGGTTGTCCATTTCTAGCATATGCACATATCATTGATGTCAATGCAATTGAATTATCATGGTCAAGTGGCAGATCATGAAATATCTTTTCAGCATCATCCATTCTCCCACACCGCGTGCACATATCAACCAATGACGTCTCAATATGATCATTTAATTTTAAACCACACTTGAGGATAAACGCATGAATCTGTTCGCTTATCTTCCTCTCCATCATTGAACCACAAGCATTAAGAACACTGGTCAATGCAAAATCAGTCAACTCCATTCCTCCCTCCAACATTCTACAAAACAATGCCAGTGCCTTGAACCCTTCATGATTTTGACTAAATCCAGCCAAAAGAGCATTATAAGAAACAGAATTTCTCTCAGGCATGCTGTTAAAAATCTCCATCGCCAAATCAACGTGTCCAAATTCCATATATGCTACAATCATTTCAGTCCAACTAAAGACATCCTTCACAGGCATCCTCTCAAACACATCCACTACATTCTTCAAGGTTCCACACTTAGTGTAAAATCCTATAAGTGCATTATTCACACTCAAATTACCATGTAATCCATTTTTAAGAGCATACCTGTGAAGCTCTTGGCCTTCTCTTACTGCCAAACAGCGAGAAGATGCAGCCAAAAGTGTCGAAAGAGTAAAATGATCAGCTATCAAGCATTCATTTCTCCGCAACTCACGATACATTTCAAATGCTCTATCATACATGGACTGTTCAACCATACAAGCAATCACAGTGTTCCACGAAACAATGTCCCTTTGCGACATAGCATTAAACAAGAGAACAACAAACTCCAACAAACCACACTTACTATACAACCCCATAAGTGCATTGACAACATAAATATAACTCGAATAACCCAATCTTATAACAAGACCATGTACTTGACAACCCAACTCAAGATTCAATGAACGAATACAAGCAGTCAAAATAGCAACATATGTAAATTCATTTGGTTCAATACCTAAATCTCTCATTTCAAGAAACAGCTCAAAGGCTTCTCTTTCACGATTCGACTTGGCAAAAGCTGATATAATTGCAGTGTATGACACAACATCAGGGCTCGTAAGCGAATCAAAAACTCTCTCAGCAAGATTCAAGCAACCCAATTTGATATAAGCTGCAATTAAAGCATTTTTCAAATAAACATCCTCTTCTTCAAACTTGACAAGTGAAGAATGAATTATCTTGGTGAGCACAACATCACCACACCTAACAGAAATCCGAAGCAAATTGGCATAATCAATACAATTGGTGTCAGCATCTACTGACACATTAGAGTCCTTAAATTGCTGAGGGGTCAAAAGGGGTTGCACAAGATGAGATTTTGAAGGGTTCTGAAGGAACAAAGAGGGTTTATGTTTACATTTGGTTTTTTTGGTAGTTGTTAGGCTTGAAGTGCAGGTGAAAAGTGAATGAAGGTTAAAGGGTCGAGGAGGGAGAAGGGATAAAGGGATAGCGTTGTTGGGGCTGTAAAAAACGGCAGCCATGAAAGAAGAAAGGCGCCAAGCATAGTCAAGTGTTTATTCCTCTCTGCTTTCTTGGGGGTTTATGGCTATCCAGAAATTGGGTGTCCATTTTTCCAGAAGGGTTTATCTATAGTTTACTCAAAATCTTCAAGTTTTCAGCCCTGTGGACTTAACTGCCAGATAATTTTGTGAAGGGTCATGGAAGTCTTGGAATTTCTACTTTGCCCCCTAAAAGTTGAGTATTTGAACTTATGACCCTTATATATTTATGCACATTTGGATTGTCTGTTTCAACTTGCATAGGTACAGGTGTCGGATCAATAGTCGAGTCAAGGTGGGTGGTAGCAGTGGATTCAAGAAGTCCTAAACAAGTTGAACTCGAATATATAAATGCTCACTTATCATATTCTTCTTTTATAAAGTAAATTTCAGAAATATGATTTTGAAGTTGTATTTCAAAAACATGATTTACAAATAATAATCAACAACGCATTTCAAAGTGCTTCTCAAATGTGATCCAAGTTAACACTGTCTTTTTGCTTCTCAAATGTGATCTAAGTTAACATTGTTTTGTAGATCATCAGTTAATTCAATTAAACAAGAACACATAAATAACTATACATTTGGTATGTTTTTTTGTTATCTCACAAAAGTGAAAATTTCCAGCCAAAATTTCTGAGACAATGATTTCTATGACGAAAATAACGTTACATCTATGTGTTATATTTACCTATCTCATGCGCAAACAGGCATGGATAATAGAATCAATCTCCCCATTTCATGCTGTGAGAACTGTATAATAGGAGTGACCCTTTTTCAACCATCAATGAACAAGCAGAATTTTACAAAATGTCAATGAGTAGGATAAAGGAGATGCAATTACACCGGTCAAATATAAATGTAAAATTTTCTACCAACTGGAGAAGTCGAACATACCATCACAAAGAATTAACTCTGGTAGTACTAATATACATGTAACTGGGGAGCTTCTCGCCACCACAACAAATTGAGAAGTCAAAAACCAGAAGGACCCTTCTATATTTGGAAAATGAAAAGGAAAACAATGCTTCGCTCTGGAGTCTGGGCATACTATAAACCCTTCTCTGGAAGGTGCATTAATAACAAAATGCTTCAAAGTGTTGCCATGGCCAGCCCCCCACTTTCATGTTATTTCCAGAATAGGCCATAGAAACACTCATCTGAAGCTCTCGCTCTGCTGCTACCCAAAACAATGTTGCTTCTCATCTTTTCTTTGACAAATACTTTTTGGCATCACCTGCAGTATGCTTCTTCCGCCTTCCACCAGCTGAAGCAGGCTCTACTAAAGGGCCTGACCAATTCTGGACAGGTTCTTTTGAATATGTGAATGAGGTCGAACTGAATGGCACATCAGGAGGGACAAGGGATGGATCAATGTGATGTGAAGCACCCAAGGGAACGCCTAGTCCTCCGTCCTGGTGTGGTGGGGGGAACTTCTCACTCTTGCTCTTTGCATTTGCATGAGTGATTAGGCGCCGCCTCTGCAAAGTATACAGATAGGAACCAGTTGAAAAAATCAAACAGAGCAACTGATAAAACTAATGCAGTAGTCATAATGTAATAGAGAGCATAACGTTGTGTGAAGGACTATACACCACTGAAACTTGGCCCCAAAAATTATACTCAGATGAAATAAAAAAGCATATACGGCATATGCCATTGAAAAAATGTCAAACCTGAAACTTGCTAAAGTACAAAGCAGAAAAGGAATCAAGACTTCTAATAAGTCTCCAAGGAAGCATAACAGAGAGAACTTATGTGACTGCTCTTGATCTACTTTAAGACTAGCTACTCATATCTCCCACCTTTTACATTCTAATTTCTGTTTAATTGACAGTTGATGAAAAACTTTGTTGAAACTTGAACTTTCTTGGTGACACTAAAGAACAAG